CTATAATTTTTAAGCCCTGCCAAAAAATATTTCAAAAATATCTTTTATGAATTTATATTGTCTCTCTCTCCTTCCTTCCTTCCTTCCTTCCTTCCTTCCTTCCTTCCTTCCTTCCTTCCTTCCTTCCTTCCCAGATGATGAAGAATTGGCAATGGTGGATCTCTGTTCACTCATGATCATCAGGTTCTTCAATATTTTCAATAATGAAACTATTGCGTAACAAAGATCCTCAGACTCAGAGTTACTGGAAAGCAGAAGAGAAAAGAAAAGGAGCTCCCCAAGTGTGAAGAAGTTTTGCGTGTAACCTTTTATTTTACTATTTTATTATTATTATTAATATTATTATTATAATTATTTTGCTTTGTGGGTCACACCCAGCGATGCTCAGGGCTTACTCCTGGCTTTGCACTCAGGAATTACTCCGGGCAGTGCTTGGAGAACAATATGGGATGCCAGGAATAGAACCTGGGTCAGCCCCATGCAAGGCAAACGCCCTACCCACTGTACTATTACTCTGGCCCAGTGTGTACCCTCTTAAAGGCTCCACACATTCCATAGGGACTGACAAGTACTTACAAATGATGTAGTAAATCACAGGATATGTAGCTGGTCTAAATCTCACCAGGGATAATTGCCCATTATCTTATTTTCTCTGTCAGCCTAGGCTCCGGGACGCAGTTTTATGTTCCTGGAAAAAAACCAGGAATATTGAGACAGAACCTTGCAGATGGAATGGGGTCAGGTTAATAGGGGAGAGATGGAATATCTGGAGAGAGAAAAATGTGACTTATTCTTTCATTGGCAAGGGGAAACTGAGGCTTTCTTTTAACCTCCCTCCCTTCCTTCCTATTACACCCAGCAGAACTCAGGGTCCCTAGCTCTTCACTCAGGGTTCACTACTGTCAGGGCTCAGGGAAACAACGGATTGAACCAAGGTTGGTCACATAAAAGACAGAAGCCTTACAGTCTATACCATCCCTCTAGCCTTCTGATGATCTCTTTTATGTACCACTACAGCTCTCAATATGCTTGGTTTCATGACAGTCACTTCAACCTTGCTCTTTGTGCTGTAATTACACCTTCCTGAGATCGGAGATAATTATTATTACCTGAACTCTGACTTCAGGTTCAGGTGATCCTCATTGCTATCAGCCCAGTTCTGAGATATATAGCCTACTACTAGCCCTTGTTCATTCATGAAATTTACCATAATGATTCTTAGTTTTTTCAGTGTATCACTTACAAAGAACTTATCTATTTCTTAAATATATTTTGAGTTCTTCTTTCATAAGGCTGGAGTGATAGCACAGCGGGTAAGGCATTTGCCTTGCAAGCGGCCAATGTGGTTGACCCAGATTCCAGAGAGCCCGGCAAGCTATCGAGAGTATCCCACCCACACGGCAAAGACTGGCAAGCTCCGCATGATGTATTCGATATGCCAAACACAGTAATAACAATTCTCACAATTTTTTGTGAGACATTACTGGTGCCCACTCGAGCAAATTGATGAAGAGTTCATCAAGTGCTACAGTGCTTCTTTCATAAGAGCATAGTGAGGACTTAAGTTCTTCTCCCCATGTGTAATATTTAGTATAACATGATTAGTTCTCTGGCATTAGCATTATTTCTTCACTTTATTTGCATAAAACAATTCTGCACAACACAGTTTTTTCAGATTTAAAAAATATTCTTTATACAATTTTGTGTAAAGTCTGCTAGTCCCAGCAACCCAAATATTTTCTCTTCCCCATTGGAACTGTGGCTTCTTATTTCTATGTCACCTTTCTTTTTTTAGTATTTCCATGCAGTTACACGTTTTGTCCAAATTATAAATAAGTAGATAGGTGGCCAATGGTGTAATAATTGGGGTAATAATCTGAGATGACATATATCATCTTAAGGGGAAGAGAGGCTTCAATCATCTACAAACAACAAAAAATAAAAGTTGGGGATGGAGAACAAAGTAACAAAAATGACATTTCTGTGACACAGCAACATCACCAAGGCATGCCTGTCTCATGCCTCAAGGTCCATTTTCCTTTTTTGTTGTTCTCAAAGGATCAATTGACTTTGGCATAGTAAATCTGTCTAGGCTGAGAATTAATCACTGGAGTTCTGCTATTCTTATGATTAAACTCTGCACTAGTCCTCAGCTTTCAGTGACCTTTCAGTTTAAAAAAAAATTATTAGTCACTGTATAAAGTATCCAGGGGGTTCTCACACTAAACTTAAAAGTCATCTAAACCATTAAAAATGCCAATTAAAAAAATAATAAACTATTTCTAGTCGCTGTGATTTATACTGTTAATGGTAGGGTTTCATGCAGAAGAACCTCCACCCTCCACCAGAGTGCAGGCTTCACCTCACCATTGTCCTAGGGTCACCCCCCCCACCCTGCCTCTAACACCACCCCACACCCCACGCTGAACTTCCCTGCTATGTCTAAACCACAGTAAGCAAGTTCTTAAATTTTTTAGTTTAGTCATTGTGACTTACAAAACTATTTATTATAGGCCGCCAATTATTTAGTTCAACAGTCATCATTATTTCTATTCCATTTTAATGTGGAATGTTTGATTATTAAATACTAATAGTATATTTCCATCTTATAGAATTTTACTGTACTATAATAAATTACTATTTTTCTAAATTACTGGTAATTTCGAATACCAGTAATTTAGAATACAATTACTAAGTTACTAAGTAACTTAGAATACAATTACTAGGAATACAACTACTAATTTAGAGTACAATTACTGAAAAATGTGGTAACAATTTTAATTACTCTCACTGGGGGTTAAAAGCATGATAAACTCAAGATATATACTAGCAATAGGCATTTTAGTTTCTCATTACAGATTAGCTAACTCCAAATCCCTTTTAAGCATTTGCTTTGTAAAGCAACACCTGTAATGATCCATTCTTAAATACAGCTATGATGGAATTAAATGTAAATAAAACACATTATAACTAAACAAATTTCTCCTCCACCCTCCCCCCCCCCAAAAAAAAAAAACACCTGGTCTATAAAGTAGACATTGTTTAAAATTTAAAGCTATACTTTTTAATTACTAGAAAATTTAGAAACAAATAACTCTATTAATGGGTTTCTAGCATAACAATTCACAGGGCCAAACATTCCAACACTGTCCCATTGCCCCAGTGAGTCCCATCTTAATCCTTCCACAACCTCCCCTCCCTTTAGCTAAAAATCCTACCGAAGTTCTAAGTTTCTTTTGCTTTTGGAAAATTGTTATTCCCATACTCTCTTTTTTAATATGTCACATGTAAGACCAGCAGGACTGTACTACTGTACAAGAAGAAAGACATCCATGACATTGGCAACTATTGTCTGTCATCTACAAGCTGTTCACTCGAGTCATCCTGAATAAGATTGGCAGAACACTAGACAAAGAACAACCATGCAAGCAAGCTGGGTTCCGCAAAGGATTCAGCACCATCGACCTTGTCCACATGATAACCAAGGTCAATGAGGTTTCTCAGGAGTTCAAGATGCCACTCTGTGTAATGTTCATTGATTTAAAGAAGGCGTTTGAGGGGCTGGAACAATAGCACAGAAGGTAGGGCGTTTGCCTTGCACGCGGCCAACCCAGGTTCAATTCCCAGCATCCCACATGGTCCCCTCAGCACCACCAGGGGTAATTCCTGAGTGCAGAGCCAGAAGTAACCCCTGTACATCACCAGGTGTGACCAAAAAAGCCAAAAAATAAAAAAAATAAAGAAGGCCTTTGATTCTGTTGAGACAGAAGCGGTCATTGAAGCCCTAGCCAATCAGGGCATTCAAACTCAATACATCAGGATCGTCCGTGAGCTGTATTACAGAGTCACTACCAGGATCTCACCATTATACAAAGAAGTAATCATCAATGTCAAGAGAGGGGTTCGGCAGGGTGATACCATTTCTCTGAAACTCTTCAGTGTCAGCCTCGAGAACATCATGCAACGAATGGAATGGGAAGGAATGGGAGTTAAGGTAGATGATTGGCAACTACACCACCTCCACTTTACTGATGACATTGTTTTAATAACACCAAACATTAGCCAAGTGGCACAAATGCTGGCCGACTTTGACCGTGAGTGTGGAAAGGTCGGACTACAACTGAATCTTATGAAGACAATGTTTATGGGAAACAGCTTCATTCCTGATGCTCCATTTGCTCTCAATGGAACGGCCATCTCCAAATGTGTACCTAGGTCGAGAAGTCAACATGACAAATGACATGGCACCTGAGTTGTGCAGGAGGTAGAGAGCAGCTTGGAACGCCTTCAAGAGCGTCAAAGAAATAGCTAAGAGGACGAAGAACCTCTGGTTCTGGGCACATCTCTTTGATTCCACTGTTCTTCCTGCATTAACATACGCCTCAGAGACCTGGGCCCTATGCAAACAGGATGAGAATGCTATTCGGGTCTCCCAAAGAGGAATTGAAAGAGCTATGCTTGGAGTATCACGTTTCACTCAAATGAGAGAAAGAATCTGAAGTTTCGACCTCCATTGATGATCAAGAATCAGGGACGCTGTCTCATTTGCCAAGGTGTCAAAAATCAGATGGGCTGGTCACGTAATGAGATTTAGAGACGACCACTGGGCTAGAGCCGTTACTGACTGGATTCCACGGGATGTCAAAAGACTGTGTGATCCCCACCTACCAGATGGTCAGACTTCTTCATCAAGATCCGGAACGATCAGTTTGAGGCTCTTCGTGTTCCTAGAACTAACAGATGCCATTGGGCTACACTAGCGCGCGACAGGGACAAACGAAAATGTTACTGGTGCCCGCTTGAGGAAATCGACGATTAATGGGAAGACAAGTGCTCAAGTGATGTAAGGCAGATCACCGTGTTTATTTCTCTCCTGCCTACCTTCACTCAGCATGTTATTCTCCAGGTACAAATATGTAGCCAAAAAGTGCATCCTTTCATCTTTTCTTATAGACAAGTAGTATTCCATTGTGCATTTTTTTCACTTTCTTTTTATTTTATTTCACAGAAGATGTGTAATGTTCAAGTGCGTAACAAGTTTAAGGGAGGCACACGTCACAGAAATGTGGGAACACCCAATCATCATGCATATAGATTGGAAAAGGATCTGTACCATAGTTTCTTTATTCAGTAGCCTGTTCTTGGACACTTCAAGTCACTTTCATTGTTTAAACAAAGAAACCTCAGCATGCATATGTAAATCAGAGATATTTTGTTCATTCTGTAAGTAAGAGAACTATAATTGAACATATTTTTAAGATGAGCAATATGCTAACCTGAGGTACATAGTTAAAAACATGAGATGATAAATTTAGTATTTTAATTTCTTATATTATCTTATAATTCCAGTTTTTATGAGCTATTGTTATTATTTCAAAGTATATTATCGGTGATATTATTTACCACTTAGCCTAATAATCTCCACTGTCTTTATTGATATCAATATCACTATTTTCCCCTGAATTCTATGAATGCATCGCTTAATTATGACTTTAATTTTAAGACTATAAATAATTGCTTTAGCTTATTTTTTTCAGAACTAGAGAATGAAGCAAGAGTTTTCTATATGAAAGGCTTGAGTATGCTTTACTAGAAATGGTTTAAAGACATTCTTTTAAGTCAAATAAATCACTTCAGTTTTTAAAGAGGGACTCAAGCTTTCTTGTGCAATGAGCTTAGGTATTGTGTTGCTTCAGAAGTAAGTAATGGTACGAATATTAGATTTCTGACAGATGCTCATATCATTTCCACTTTCTCACTTATTCCTTATGCAATCTCCAGAAGATCGCCTACTAAATGATAAATTACATATGTATATAATATCGGTGTGAATAACCAGATCAAAAAATAATAGTAGAGGTTACTTTTCAAACAGATTATTAAATCAATAACTCTTATTTTAAAATAGTCCAAGGGTGCATATGCTGCCTGAGCACATGTTTCACCTGCATCTCCCGTCTTGAGACGTGTACTTTCATGTTTTCATGTCTAATGCTGGGATGTGTGTAGGGGCTCTCTCCACCCTTGGAGAAGCCCGGGCTCTTTCTTGAGCACATTAGTCTCCACGTTCTCCCACTCTATCTCCCTCTTTCCCTTCAAAACTTCCAAATAAAAACTGTGTAATTTCATAAATAAATAAATAAAAGAGTGCAGGGATGTTGGTGATGAGAAATGTACATTGGTAAAGGGATGAGTGTTGGAATGTTACATAATTGAAACCCAATCATGAACAACCTTGTAACTAATTCTATCTCACTGAAATTCAATAAAATTAATTAAAATGCAGAAATAGGACCCAGAGAAATAATGCAGCAAGCAATGAACTACGTGGCAATTAATAAGGTCCAGTACTATATCAGGTACTGTAAGCACTGCCAGAAGTGATGATCCCTGAGCACAGAGTCACGAGTAAGCCCAGAGCAGAGCTGGATGTGGCTCCAAAGCTTCAAAATAATAATAATAATAATAATAAATAATTTATGAACATATATTATGTCATAAGGTATTGTCAGTACTACAAACACATATGAGACTCATCAGCTTAAAAAATCATATTTTTAACAAAGGACATGAATTTGTCTAAATGCCTGAAACAGAAGTACTTAATAGATACTATAAGCTACATACTAACCATTGAAAATGCACATATAACCACTTCAATATTATTCATAATTATGTATATTTTCTTTCATTGACTTTATATATGTATCACATTTACTGCTATAATATTTTCTGAATAAAATCTTAAGTAAATGAGTGCATGAGGTTAATAAATTACTCACTTCGTTTTACAGAATCACTAAGAAAGCAGTAATTGACTATGGTTGAGTGGATCGTGGAAGATTTAATAGTACAAGAGATGATTAAGTTCACTCTTCCAATTCAGAGAAGCTGGCCAACCTGATTTATGCAAGATATGAAGTTCCAAAATGAATGAAGAACTGAGTGAAAGCTAAGAGGTTAGAAATGGAATAAGTGTTCAAGAACTGTTAGTGCATTCATTTGTCTAAGGAAGAGTAGAAGGAGAACAATTAGTTAAGGTTGAATTTGCAAACTGTTCCCCAATTGGTAAGAGCAGGATCAGAGAATGTAAACACATCTCACTTATCTTGTGACTTGTTAGGAACAATTAATTGTTTGGCCTAACACTATTAAAAAGTTTTTCACATAAGTTAGAATATTTCAAATTAAGGTTTACTGTGTTGAGCTATAGGTTATTAATGTTGTGTCTACTTTTTTGTATAAAATAGAGTTATTATCCTAGTACCAACATACATATGTAGCTGTAAATTAGTAAATAAGCACTTCTGATTGATTTCTACATTCAGGTTAGATGGGTTTTCCTAAATTTGCTATATAGCAAAGAGGAAGGCAATACAAACGTTGTACAAGAATTAAGAGCAAGGAAATGGGATTCGAATTTATTTTATGCTTTTTTTGTTCTAGCTATATCTTAGAAATATAATGTTAATTCCAGTCTTGTCTGTTTAAAAAATTGAGGGGAGGGCAATATTTAGCTGTGCTAAATGTCTAATCCTGACTCTGAAATTAGTTATCATTTTTGAAGGGGCTAGAGGACCATACAAGGTGCTGGGGATCAAATCCAGGTAGACCACATGCAAGACTTCACCTGCTGTATTAATGCTCTGGTCCCACTATATTCTTCTGTATATTTTTAATAAAATTAGTTTAGGACAAGTGTTTTGTAATATCTGTAGGAATTTATATAGAAGTAGAATGCTTATAGTCGAATCTATCTAATTGAAACTTCTGTGTTTAAAGTTCTCCCACACACCTAGATGGCTAAGCCTCTATGTTAATACTATAGAATACGAAATTTAAACTTGGTACTAGGATACACATTTTCTCTCTCCAGTTTTCATTAATAATAGCAAGAATCCATGACATCTACGATATACCTAGTATGCACAAAACTACAACTACATTAGAGGTCACTTATGAATTATTAACATTAAGTTGATTTTTTTTCCTGAAACCAATTTACTGATTGAAATTAGCCCCATTAAAAATCAGATATGCAAGTTTGATTCCGTTCCCTCTGTGGTATGGATACTGATAAAATATTTAGAAGTGAGTTCAGACATCAGATACAAGAAACAGAGGGGACAAAAAAGATATGAAATGAGTAAGAGAGTAATGTCAATAACAAGTCAATAGAAAGGTGCATTTCATAAAATACACCTGCTCCAGATATCCCTTTAGGTATTCTTTGAACTATGTTCACAAATTTCCGACCCAGAGACAAAACAAAATGCCACGCCCCCACACACACTCAAAAAAAAAAACAGTGATAGTAGTGGCAACATTTTGTTTTTGTTGCAGTTTTCCCCATTCAAATGTGGGCATTACCCTGCCACAATGACAGGTTGATTTTGTGTGAGAGACGAATACTCACCAGTCCAAATTTTGTTTCCATGGTCTTATGACATTGCAAGATTGGAGAAGTCCGGAGGAGAAGTGGGCGGGGGTAGTCGTGTTCAGCATGGGTGAAAGGTCAGGCGCTGTCAGCTTTCATCTGCGCAAAATTGACTGGAGCCTTTGTGATTTATTTTTCATTGTTTGAAACTAGTTCATGACCTTTGTGAAATTTAATGTCACAACAGTAGGTTGTGGGGATCCTAAGTAGGAAGGCTAAGAGAATTTTGAAACTGCATACAAGAAGTGTCCAATATTTCAAATAACATTCCATTCTTGGGGGTGGGTAGATAATACAACGGGTAAGTCGCTTGCCTTACATGCAGCCTTCCTGAGTTCAATCCCCAGGTTTCTCCTAAAACTTCCAGGGATGATTCCTGAGCGCACAACTAGGAAAAAACCCTGAGTACAGTAAGGTGGACCCCCCTTAAGCCCCTCCCTTCCAAAAGACAAAAACTATCAGATAACCACAAAATAGTTGTTGCTTTTTATTCTTGATGCTGTTGAAATTCTGTTGAAAATCGACTTAGATTGAGCAGCTTCTGCCCTCAATGAAAGTTGACTGCAATATAAAAACTTATGAAATAAGGTCAGAGAGATTCTACAGAGGTTAAGGCACACATTTGGCATAAGGTCAACCTTTTTGGTCCTATCCCTGGCACTATATGGTGCAATGAGCACCATTGGGTATAGCTCTGGAGTCTTCCAACACTATCCAGCTGAGCTGGGTGAACTGGGTAACCCCCAGCAACACAGACTGAAGTCCAACTCTGCAATTGGCCGAGAATCACTAGGACAGCCCATGACACCTACTGAGCACCACATGAGGGACTTCTCTGAGTTAATAATAAACTTAAAAGTTTTATTTTAAGTATAAAGAAAAGTTAAACAGGAAAAAAAATCTACTTCATGAATGGTTGTTTTTATACCTATAAGCAACATGGAACTTAGTGTAAGGCAAATAGAGTTGAGTCATGAAATACCATCAACGTAGTGTTATTATTTTACAGAAATAATGCAGAATTAAAGAATTACACTTAAGAAAAAAATGGAGTCAAATTAGATCAATGTTGAAAATTAGCATATTCACAATACAATCAACCTTCCAATATTTACATATATGCTATCCAGGTGCCACAACATATTTTGAAGTTACGCACAACTTAATGGAATTTTAATCACCTTAGCAAATATTCACTAAAGACTAAGATGTTATAGCTGTCTATGAGATACAGTAAAATGTTAAGGGCTAAGAATATACATTTAGGATTTGATACTTTTTATGTGTGAGCAGAGCGATAGCACAGTGGGTAGAGCATTTGCCTTGCACACGGCTGACCCAGGTTCGATTCTCTGTCCCTCTCGAGAGCCTGGCAAGCTTCCGAGAGTATCCCACCCACACAGCACAGCATGGAAAGCTCCCTGTGAAGTATTTGATATGCCAAAAACAGTAGCAACAAGTCTCACAATGGAGACGTTATTGGTGCCCGCTTGAGTAAATCAATGAACAACAGGAGGACAGTGCTACAGTGCTACTTTTTCATGTAAAATCTTGTTACCTTGGAAAATTAATGTGGGCTGGAGCGATAGCACAGCGGGTAGGGCGTTCGCCTTACAAGCGGCCAACATGGCTGACCCGAGTTCGATTCCTCTGCCCCTCTCGGAGAGCCC